TTATATTTTGACACGTGAAAAAACCCAGGTTGAAGAAGCTCAGATGATGACACTAGTTATCACATTCAGGTGCTCTACAGCTGATTACGCGACCAGATTATCTAAGAAGACTGACGACATTAAGTCAAACTACACTTAATAATACAGATCTGTCCTATAACTGAATCACCTCTACAGATAGCATTGCTCAGATCATTAGGACTTAGCTCACACGATTCATAGGATAATCTTCGGTTTTGCAAATGTACCATGACAGAATGGAAATAATCTCTCAAAGTCTGGCCCAACCTAATATCCAATTTTCCTCAAATTGATGTAAAACCTGCCAAGATGGAGACCCCAATGAAATCTCTCCTGTAAAAGCATTTGATGCATCCTTCATTCCCATTTAGAACTCTTGTGGAAGAAGTGATATCTTGTATTAGACCAACTAGATAGTTGCAAAAAAAAATTCTTTATTTGTAAGCTTTTGCGCTCACATGCCCTTAGGCAAAGGAGAATGCAAAGATTGTGAAATTTCTCCCAGGTAGAAATGAAACTTCATATTGCTCAGGAGAACTGGAAGATGGCATAGATTCTTCTGGGTGGAAAGAGTTAATTTTATGCAAATTAGGCTTGGATAAAACTTGGAGCAGTCTATTGACCTCAGAGGTGTCTGATGGCAAGCAGGATGTTGAATTTTGCTTTTTTCTTGTTAAGTTCTCCTGTGCAATATGAAGTTTTATTTCTACCTGGAAGGAATTTTACAATCTTTGCATTCTCCTTTGCCTGAGGAAAGGCGCATGAGCCCAAAAGCTTGCAAATAAAGAATTTTTTTTTGCAACTATCTAGTTGGTCTAATACAAGATATCGCCTCTACCACAACAGCTCTGACTGTTTTTGCCTTTAGAATAACATGGCTACAACCTCTATGTCCTTCATTCCCAGATTTTCAATATACCCATCCTTGGGTATAAGTTCAACATGGTCCTTGGGACAGAGAGCTACCTTGACTTTCTGAATAGTATCATAATGCTCATAACTATTCTAAGCAGCAAAATGGAAATTCCTATCTCAGGAACCTAGTATTGTACCTGACCATGTAAGTGAAGCTGGGCCAGAAAAGTGGCCTCATCATTGCTTATTTTCTTCTTGAGACAATCAGGACCATTCTCCACCAATTCCTAACTGTCTGATGTAGTTTCTTGGTAAGGCAGACTGCAAGATGAAACATGTAATGATCCTAGTTACCAGGCTATTGTCTTGCAACTGCCTTGCTGCCAAGTCTTACATCAAGTATGGTATCTAGCATTTCCACCTCACCAGTCTGGAAGACCTAGTTCTTGGCAGGTTGGATTTAGAATGGAGTGGCTGGAATGGAAGTGTCATCCGGAAACTGCTGTTCATATTTTCAGTCTAATATTGAGACAGAAGAAATATTAACTTGACCCAGGGCAAGATTTTGCTCAGGATTATAAAAGCTGCTGTTCCTCCCGCCCTCCCCCACAAAAAACAACAACAAAAACCCCAACACCCAACCCAAACAAACAAAACACAGGTCTCTGCAGTTGATACAAATGCCCTATTACTTTCTGGCCCTATTTGACATTTTAAGATGCTTTGTATTCTCTAGAGGTGCTGTTCCTTCTACTGATTGTGCATGAACTGACTTCTGGCAAAGAAGAAAGGATGCGTGTAAGGAGTTTTTATTGAGGCTGATGGTGAAATTTGCAATTCTCTCTGGTCTTTAGTTCTCAGGCTAGCACACCCTGTGGTGCTTAGTGCCATCATACAGGGCTTTTATAAAACCCCCGGTTTAGATTTAGTGGGCGTGGAATGGACTGCTAACTACAATCCCATCAAGCCGCTGGGGCTAACATCATCAAGTTTAATTCAAGCATTCTTGTGAGCTTGGTGAGTGAGAAGCTAGAAATCGGGTCTTGTGCTAAGACACAAGGCAGCTTATCTTGTTAGGTTTTTGTTTTGTTTTAGTTTGGGGTTGTTGTTTTTTTGGGGGGGTGGGGGGGTCACCTCAAGAGTTAAAGTAGTAGGTACAATGTGCTGTGAGGCCTAAATGAAGAAAAACAGCTCTGGTGCAGACCTCAAAGTGATACCACTGATGTTTCAGCTGATATACTAACCCTAAGCACGAATATTCAGCCAGTGTTCCTGCCCTGCCCACCTTCTGGGCCCTCCACATTGGGTGCAAAACAAAGAAGATCAGAAAATACTCCTGAAAAAGCAGGAACTAACTTAGCATCAATTCCCAATATGAAGCAAAGAGTTTTAAAGGAATCTGCTGCCCGTGTTGATAAGTTTAATTAACATCGCTTAAAAAAGCTGCTGGAATGAAAGCAACTCTGCATGTGTAATAACCAGGCAGTGCATGAGCATTGCTGAGATGCACGGAACTGTATTCACTTCTAAGAAACTAAGAGTCAAGCGGTTTCTTATATCTCCAATCCTTTCAGAAAACAATGCTGCATCCCTGTTAGAGTCACTTCTGAAGACGAGAAGGAAGGTTTGGCAAGGAACAGAAGGGAATAACCTCTAAAACAAATACTGGATCATGTATTTTTCCAAATGGTAAGCGATCTGTAGTTTGTAATTAGCTCCATTCATTAAAAAATGAATTTCCAGGACCAACGACTGGAGCAACAAAAGAGGAGCAGGAAAAACGGTTTTCACATGGGGACTTCAGTCAAACAGATGGCTGCAGCCTAAGCCAGCTAAAATGGCACATGTTATTCTCTGCTGGTTGTAGCCATCTTATCTTGGTTTTGCATTTAATGATGAGTTGCAGAGAATTTTGTTTGAGATGCCCACTGATTTGCAACAACAGTAATCACAATAATTAATTCTTATATAGCTTTCTTTCAGCGTGCCTTACAAAAATAGGTATCATTACCCACTCTGTACAAAAGGGGGAACCATCATAGCTTGGAATACTGCCCACATCTCTCTATTCCCAGTACTCTGCCCTCTGTAGCAGAGCCCTTTGGCTCTCTCTAATCCTCAGATAAAAATGGTAAAATAGTATCACAACAATTTCCTGTCCACACAAGGGTTATTCATTCCAAACCAGATTTAACAAATAAGATTGCCAAACTACTCCTGCAACTCTTGCAGACTTTCCATGCCCCCTGCCCCACTCACCTTGACCACCACTTGCTCTGAATCACAAAGCAACTTTCCTACCTAAAAAAAGTGGGGGGGGTTTTCAGACAGAAAAGATACCACCCCCATACAACAGTAATAGAAAAGGACTGCAATATATTTTTGCCCTCTTCTGTAGCTGTAGGCACCACATATGTTTATTATCGACTACTGTCAAAATGGATTTCAAGTAGTTCCTTAAAGCAGAACTTCAGTTATCCGAAAGGTCAGGGAGAACTCTAACTAGCAGCTCTCCGTACTAAAGTGACTCTACTGATCTGCATTCTTGATGCTGAAAAAAAGAGAGTCTTCCACACAACATTTTTTTTCTCCACCAAGAATAGTACTTTAATTAAGAAAAAACTTCAAATTTCACTGTGAATGTAGAAGTTCAAGTAGATCACACCATTGCAGATGCTAATGAAAAATTTATGACGTGGATTAGGTTAATCTATTAAAGATCAATTTATTGCCTGCATTTATTAGAGATTCTAATATTCATTCAGATAATCCTTTTATCTTCACCATGACTAATTTCCTCTCACAGAACCATTAGAAAGTGAGGCGCTAGTAAGGAAAAATGATGATGTCTGGATCCTACTCAAAGGACTTTCATCTCCAGTGGGACAGCAAATAATATCAGTAATGGGCCCTTTCAGAACACTTTTCATTACTTTCTGCATTCATAAAGTTACTCAGGGGAATAGTTAGCACAATTTAGAGACCACGAGCCCAACCAACGGAAATGAACCAACTTTCTGAAGATATATTAATCAGTGAAAATCTGACAGAAGTGCACTTCAGTGCACCAGAAGGTGCAATGCAGAATCTTTATTAGTTTTGTACAGACTATTAGATCTCATGATAAAACTGCAGAATTTAACAGTGTATTTATACTGCTTAATCTTTTCTGGACTATTTACCAAAACCTCAAGGAAAAACATAGTAAAATGAACTTGGCCACTGTGTACAGACTGCGTGTCTTAGGTCTCATAAGCTCCGCTGAGGGGTCTCTCACCTAAAGCACCCTAAAAGTTATGCCCCACTGTCTTTGTTCCTGGACATACAAATACCACCCCTAACCAAGTTTTATCTTTGCTAGCAACACTGGAACTACATTCTTAAATGCTCAGCAGGCAAACTGTGCCTAAACTATGACTATATTAAATGTGCATCTTCTGTTTGACACATGCATAACTCACAACCCCACAGTTCCTCATTCAAAAGAGCTTGAAATGAATGCCTGTTAATATTTTCAGCTGAGGGGTATGTGGCTAAATCTGGATTAGTGTCCCAGATTTACCCTAAATCCATACAATTTATCCCCTACCAGCTGGGCAAAAAATACTCCATTTGTACAGAAAGAGCCTCAAAAAGGTAATTTATTTAGAAAACCTGGCCTTAAACTAAAAATTCAGATGGGCAGCTGAGGGAAGGACTCATCAAGCTATGAAAAACACTTGAAGGATTTTAGTATACTTGAAGGATGACACTTGGCGTCCTACCACTTATGATGGTGTTTGCAATGGGAGTTTCCTATTTGGGATGTAACCTAGCAGTCATCCTTCTACCAAGCACCCTCTCCAGTGGGGGAAAAGTTAAACCTATAGAGATACATGCTCCATCTTGAATGAACAAGCAACTGCTCATGTATGCTACTGGACTGTCAGGATTTACCAAGACTTTAATATCAGAGTATCTGTAGCAAAATTCAGGCCTTTCAAACTGGGCACTTAAATTCACCTCTGCAGGACCCCTGATTTCAAAGCCCACATTAAAAAAAAGAATAACAACAAAACCCTGCAGTTTTAAATTATGTTAAGATTCAGTGAACAACCGATACATAATCTATGCTATCATCTCACCGTAAGCAGCCGGATGTGTTCTTGAAGACTGTTGTCCACTCAGCATCCCGAGGCTTGGAGTCCTCGTTTGGCTCACTCTCCCATCCAGAATGGGGGATAATCACCTCGTTTGTCAATGTCTGAAGACCATGGTTAATGATCACCATCTTTAGGGGCTCATAGGATGACAAGTTCCACAGCGTGCCTTCAGAAGGAACAGTGGTTATTAGTCTAATGAAAACAGAATATTTATTTTTACTGTTCATGCAGAATAGCATTCCCTGAAGATTAAATGATAAAACAATAAGACAAGAGGAAACTTATTTGCCCGATGAAGTTTCTTAGAATTCAGCAGAACCACAGGGAGTAGGAAACATTCAGCAGTTATCAACACAGAAACCTTTCCCAAGAGTCATATTTCAGACAGGTTGGGTGGCTGAAATCACTGGCCCTGGTAATATGCCTGAGGAATATGATGTGTGTTCATTAATTGCTTACCCAGAGCATGTGTGTATAGATGGAAAATGACAGGATTTGCTCTGCACAAAATGTAGATATCATTACATTTGCAAATCTACTTATGCCTGAAGAAAACATGCACTCTACTGCTGCAAGCTGACAAAAGCCTTAATGCACTATGTAAGGCCTCCATTTCGAGAATACAGTCCAGGTGTTGATCCTCTGCCCAGCTGAAATATCGCCCGCTACTTTCTGCATCCCACATTACTTTTATATGATCACTTTGTCGCAGGCCGAGACGTGAATTGAGGGCAGGGTTCCAAGCTGAGGCCGAGCACCCAGAACTACCTTTGTCTTATTACCTCACCTCAATTATAAATCCACAGCAACAGAAAATTCAAGAAGCTGCCTACCTAAGCAGAAGCCTCAAACAGCTTTAAAACTAAACAATTCAAACTGTCTGTGACCTAGGTCTATATGTAATGTGTTTACAGCTATGCAACATCAAATCTGACATAGATGGAAGTGGGGTTTTCTTTACTTATAGGGTTATGCTGGCACTCATGTGTGTAAGAAAAAGGGTAGCATATAAATCAGATAAATAAATAAAATAAATAAATAAGCTACACCAGTATAAGCATTTTTAGAACAGTATACCAGTTTGCCCAGATTTACTTATCTAAAAATAGGCAGTAATTTGGACTTCCCTCTCCAATATGTTTATATAAAGTTCAGCCAGAGCTATCATTTGCTCTGATTTAACTGTATAACACCATGCCATTAATTGTATATCATTTATAAAAAGCTCTAAGTGAAAACTAAACTGTACATTTAAAACTGAAATCACAGGGTGAAGTACATTTATATTAATATCAGCCTTCATAAATTCAGCCAATACTAGAAAGGACAATAAAACCTAATCCTGTTCTCTACATGTTTCTAACAGAATCATACCCCTCAAGGACATGGTTTAACTCTAATGGGAAGGTTTTTGCTAACATTTCCATATTCCAGAAGTGGCAATGCAAGCTAATGCAGAAGAACAAATATCCTTCCCAATCTCAGTTTTCCAAAACTGAATCGGAGCTGAAATGGGACCCTCACGTCATAGGTGAGATCTGTATTAGTCTTACCTCCTGACACTTGAAAACTAGATAAATTGGAGGACTGGAACAAAAGAAATCTCATGAGGTTCAATAAGGAAAAATGCAAAGTCCTGCACATAGGACGCAAAAATCCCATGCACCAGTATAGGCTGGGGACCGACTGGCTAAGCAACAGCTCTGCAGAAAAGGACCTGGGGGTTACCATAGACAAGCTGAATATGAGCCAGCAGCATGCCCTTGTTGCTAAGAGGGCTAACAGCATACTGGGCTGCATTGGTAGAAGTGTTGCCAGTAGACTGAGGGAAGTGATTCTTTCCCTCTGTCCAGCACTGATGAGGCCACACGTGGAGTACTGTGTCCAGTTTTGCCCTCCCTCCCTCCCACCTCCCTGTACACAGAGTATGTAGACAAATCAGAGATAGTCCAGCAGACAGCCACAAAAATTATTAGAGGCTGGGGCACATGACTTATGAGGAGAGGCTGAGAGAACTGGGTTTATTTAGTTTGGAGAAGAGAAGACTGAGGGGGGATTTAATAACAGCCTTCGGCTACCTGAAGGGTGATTCCAAAGAGGATGGAGCTGGACTGTTCCCAGTGGTGGCAGATGTCAAGGAGTAATGGTCTCAAGTTGCAGCAAGGGAAGTTCGATTGGATATTAGGAAGAATTTTCTCACTAGGAGGGCAGTAAAACACTGGAGCAGGTTACCCAGAGAGGTGTCTACCCAGAGAGGTGGTGGACTGTCCATTCTTGGAGGTTTTTAAGACAAAGCATTGGTTGGGATAATCTAGTTGGGGATGGTCCTGCTTTGAGCAGGGGGTTGGACTAGTTGACCTCCTGAAGTCCCTTCCAACCCTAATTTTTTTATGATTCGATCAATAAGAGGATTTGAGAAGGAAAATAAGTATGTGGTTTTCATCTCCAATTAAATGACTGAAAACAGAGATTTCTGGAGGTACTGACGACGGGAAAAAAAATGAAAGTTTTCCCTAAAGACACTGAAATCTTTCCTTAATAGTAGGGCTGTGCAAAGCTTCGGGTGCTGGTTCAATTCAGAGGAAATTCGGCCCGATACGGTGGCCAAATCTCCAAATCCATATCAAATCAGGGGACCAATTGAAAGGTCTGAATTGATTTGAAGCTCTTCAAATCAAGTTGGAAAACATTTGGAGAGCTTTAGTGATTTGGGCAGTCCCTGCCCACTGCAGCAGCAAGTTGGAGCCAGACTTGGAGCTGGTAAGTAGGGGCAGGAGAGGGGGGGTTACAGGAGAGGGGGAGGGGACCTGGGGGGACCCTGGCCAGCCCCCATCCCCTGCCTGCTCTTCCAGCCCTCTGGACCCCACCTGCTCCCCCAGCTCCCCCACCATGGCTGCCCTGCATACCCCCAACTCCTGGTGCTTTAAAAAAAAAGCCCTTACCAGCTGCTGCCCGGTGGGGCTGAGGGGGGCGATCCCTGCTGCCCCCCCACTGCCCCACACTGCATGAGGGTCTCTGC